CTGACACCTGGGGTCAGTCGCGTGTCTCTCGGGTCACAAAGGAGAGAACGCGCACCTGTGAGCCAGTTCCCCACTGCTAACATCTCAGGATCTTGTGCTGTGAATATTTTTTTTATTTTCTTTTGTTGCTGCTTATAATTATTGTTAAATTTTCATTTTTTACTGTACATCTCCTTTTTGTTAAATTTTTATTTTATATCCTTTTTGTTTTTAAAGTGTTTATTTATAGATTAAACAGCACAATAGACATGTACTGTGTATAAGAAAGGTTAAAACGGTCGTTTGGGGGTCTGGAACGGATTAATTCCATTTACGCTGTTTCTAATGGGGAAAGATGACGCAGTTTGCAAACAGCCTTCCGGAACGGATTAAGTTCATGAAGCGAGGTTCCAGGGCATCTGGATTTGAGGGGCGTGCCTTCAAACGGCTCCTGGCCTCTGACATGAGCCCAGGGCCTCGCATTTTATCGTGCATCTCAGCTCACCCTGTGCTCGTCGGAGCCAGGTCGGGGTGACCCATGTCTCTGAGGCGACCCTCGTCCCCAGAGGGTGGAGGTGTTCAGACGCCAAGGTCTGAGGGCCCACATGCTCTTGCTGCTGGGCCCCCTCAGGGGACACAGCTGGGGACGGTACGTTTGCTTACATCTGCCTACGGTGTCTGTGCACATTATGAACGTAAGACTGCTTCTCTAATTCAGATCCGGCCAGCACGGCTTTCTCGGACTTCCTGGTTCCATGTCGGAGTCCTGTGTGCCCTGCGCTGGGAACCCTGGTTTGGAAACAGCAGTCTAGTTTCTAAGGGCGCCGTGTAGGGCCCTCCCAGCGTGCTTCTCCCCGCAGCATGTCTCACGGACCAGCTGGGTAATACAGTCCTCGCTGGTTGTCGGGTTGCACCACCCGAACCTCAGAAAGGCGGGAGCAAAACGCAATGAACTTGGTGCTTCCTAACTCATCTCTGCGTCTCCGTCTTTGTAGGTTATTAAAAACAACCTGAATCCTGTTTGGAGGCCTTTTAAAATCTCTCTTAACTCCCTGTGCTACGGAGACATGGATAAGACTATTAAGGTAATTTGAAATTATACACACAGACAAACGCGCCTCTTTTATAAACTTCACTGATGGGGTAATTTTAAAGCAAGAAAGCCACGGGACAGGCCTGCGGGATCCGTTTTGCCGGCTCTGGGAACTCTGAAACGGGTGTCTGGTAGGTAAAGGGTTTGAAGAATCAACATGTTTGACTGATGGTTCACCCAGTGCTGAATCCAACATTGTGATTTTTATTGTACACTTTATTTTTTAAAATAAAATGTCCAATTTAAATGTTTCTTCCTTTTAAAAGGATCCCTTTGCTCTGTGAATAGGAGCCTTTAGCTCCCTCTGTGCCCTTGGGCGTGTCCTTGGAATGAAAGCAGCCGTTCCTTTAACTAGAGCCTGCGCCGTCTCCGCCCTCAGCCCGCGGAAAGTGGCGAGTGTGGCTTCCCCTCTTGTTTCCGGAGCCAAGCGCAGTCACTGAAGACTTGTGGGGGGCTTAGCTGTCGAGGGTCCGAGAGCAGAGCGGCAGCAGGGAGCCACAGCCGGTGTCAAACGTTCTTATTTATAACGGCTTATCAACTACGTATTATTTTAAAGACGTTTTTATACTAGAGTCACTTGTTGACAGAGATTCCAGAGAGAAGCCTTTTCTTGTGTCCTGATGCCAGCAAACTGAGATGGGCTCTTGCTGGTTTTTGTAAGGAATGTGGTGAAAGCAGGAGGGCTGGTGGCCTGGAACAAGCGTGGGACTTAGAATCAGACCACAGTCCAAGTCTTGATTCCGCTCTTTAAGCAGCAAAGGGATCTTGGGCAGGTCATCTATGGTCTTCACGTGTATAATAGAGAAAATAAGGTCTACACCACAAAAAAGGAAGTGAACATGGAAGTCTTACACTGTTGAAGGCGGCACAGATGCTGTTAGGGTTGAAAGCCGCTTCATTTCCTAGGTCCATCTATTTGTCCTCAGAGGAGAATTTTCTGATGAATTCCGGTATGAGTATGTGCCGTCCCAGCAGCAGTGAAATGCAGGTGGGGTGCGGGGGGGCAGGCG